AGAGCGTCAGGATTGGAGATGGCAGATGTAGCATCTGTCAACACACAGGTGATAGTTAATGCACCGGGGATGGATGAGAAAAGAGAAGAAGGCCAAAGACAAACTCCCAAAACACAGAAGCCCACAAAAAAGAGGTAGGTGGAGAATGTGAAATTGCAGCTAAGAGTGGAGAGAATTTAGAGGTCAAACTGTCTAATTTACTACCACGAAATGGTAAAATGTATTCATTTATGTATTTGTTTAGCAAACAGTGCCTTTTAAAGATAAATAAAATTTAAGATGATAGTTAAGTTTTACTCTCTGGGGAATCTTCAACATGTGTTGTATTGTCATTCCTCATTTTTGTTATTGACTAATTTGCTATTTTCTCTTCTGTAAAGGAAACTTTCCAGTATACACTCTTCAGATGGGCTGAAGAGCTTGATGCCCTCAGTAGAACACAAGACTTACTTGGTTGCTATGAGCAAGCCCTGGAACTGTTTCCTGATGATGAAGTGATTTGCAATAGTATGGGGGAGCATCTCTTCAGGTGTGTAGTGATTTCAGATTACTTGTTAAGAATTATTCTGTATCACCCGGATCAGGGATAAATTGTAAAGTAATTTGAACAGGGAAAGTTTAATATAAAGAATTATTAACTGTAACAGGATAGAGTAAAAAGGGATTAGCTAATAAGCTATAAAGAGAACTCAGAAGAATATAGGAATAGCAGGCATAATATGTAATAACAGAGCAGTTTTAATACAGTTATCACATAATGTATAATAGCCACTGTCCCTAAGGCTCAGGTTAGTATCAGGGAAGTGTCCCCCCACTAGGCTGAGATCCAGACCTTGCGAAGTGGATGTAACGTGGTTCCCAGATGGCAGAGAAGTCCTGTGATGCTTTGCAGGGAACTTGTAAATCTGTTCTCTGGAACTTGCCAAAATTTGCCATTAGAATTTCTGTCTACTCTCCTTAGAAACTTTATAATTAGGACTGATAAAAATACCAGAAATTTTTGTTTTGGATTTGTTTTAATAAATCTGGTTTCACTTCTTGGCTCTGCTCATCTGGTCACATTAAGTTTTATTTTTCTATGAAAAATTCCATATAAGAAATACCTGTGTCAGACTTTATTAGTCAGCCTCAGTAATGTAACTATAGTCTTAGTCGAAATGGCTGGTGGAGTGAAATGAGTACTCCTTTAAGAGACAAATATTTGATAGTTTCTAGTTGTAGAGTATGATAGTAACTAGGAAAATAAGACAGATTGTCAACTGCGGCTTGTTTACACTGACAGCTAACCTGATTCTGATACACAGACTCCATCTCTACAAATTAGCAGCCAACTCTCCATTTAAATGAAATTTAGTTTAAAAAGATTTTTTTAAAAATATATTTTATTGATTTTTTACAGAGAGGAAAGGAGAGAGAGAGTCAGAAACATTGATGAGAGAGAAACATCGACCAGCTGCCTCCTGCACATCTCCTACTGGGGAAGTGCCCGCAACCCTGGTACATGCCCTTGACCGGGATCGAACCTGGGACCTTTCAGTCCGCAGGCCGACGCTCTATCCACCGAGCCAAACCGGTTTCGGCTAAAAAGATTTTTAAGTAACTCTTCAAATTAGTTGGAAATCTACATTTTAAGTTCAAAGTTTTCTGTAGTTCTTTAGTTTATGCAAGTAGAATTACTTTATAGGACTCAATTATATTTCCAGATTACACACATATAATGATCATAACATAATAAGACTTAAGTTTTAGAATAAACTCAATTTAACAATTTGAGTGCTACACTTCTACACTTTTGGCAGATTGTAACTGTTGGTGAACTATTTTTGAAATAAAAAAAAACTTGGTGTTAATTTGCTTCAGGGGAGATATAAAACTATGCAACATTTCGAATTTAGACAATGTCAGTTCAGAATTTGTGATAATGTGAATGTGGCATTTGATGTATAGTTTACCTTTGTTCTTTAGGACAGGGGTTCTTAGCTTTTGTTCCATTCTATTTGTCTTATGAAAACAGTGTATAGCCCTAGCTGGTTTGGCTCAGTGGATAGAGCGTTGGCCTGCGGACTGAAGGGTCCCGGGTTCGATTCCGGTCAAGGGCATGTACCTTGGTTGTGGGCACTCCCCAGCGGTAGGCAGCTGATCGATGTTTCTCTCTCATCAATGTTTCTAACTCTCTATCCCTCTCCCTTCCTCTCTGTAAAAAACCAGTAAAATATATTTAAAACAAAAACAAAAACAAAAAAAAAACAGTGTATAACTTACTCCCCACCAAAGGAATCACTTTTCCAGGAGAAAAAGATTTCCAAAGTAAATGATAGCTTCCTAGCCTGATATTTGTGAGATAAAGTTGGTGTCTGGAGTGTCTTCTTGTGTTAGCCAGTCAGATTTAAGATATATTAAGTTGCTAGTCAGGGAAATAATTTTTTTTTTCTAGTTAAAAGAAAAAAGGCATTTTTGTAGTTGATTGGTGTTATTGGGACACATGAGTGTTTCCGTAAAAGATGTACTTTGAGTGGATCATGTATTTTTTAGATTAGCATTGCAGTTTAAGAAAACTGAATTATATATTAAGGGTCAAGCCTAAGGGAAATGTAAACCCAGGAAATGATTAGATGCAGGCTTGGCATTGATTTAACAGATCGTTCAAATTTTGAAATTTTAAAATATCCATTGCTAAGTTGGTTTCTCGACAAATAACGGTTACTTACGGTCTATTTTGCATTGTACTGTATGCTTTGGCAGTTGCAGGATAAGAATAAGACAGCTCTGTCTTCACGATACTTAAAAATAACATGAGTAACTTCATTTAATGTAGGGCGATTGCCTTTTGTTAGAGTGCAGTTTCCTGTTTGGAGTTCCCTTTTCTTGCTTAAATCGTACTCACAGTGAATAGTCTGATTCCATTTCTTTTTTAAAAAAATATATATTTTTATTAATTTCAGAGAGGAAGGAAGAGGGAGAGAGAGATAGCAACATCAATGATGAGAGAGAATCGTTGATTGGCTGCCTCCTGTATGCTCCCCACTGGGGATCGAGACTGCAACCTGGGCATGTGCCCTTGACCGGAATAGAACCTGGGACCTTTTAGTCCACAGGTTGATGCTCTATCCACTGAGCCAAACGGGTTAGGGCTGATTCCGTTTCTTTCAAGTTGATAGAATGCTTCAAGGTGCTTGTGAAGAAATCTGAGTGTAAAAGGGTTCTACTAGCTCAGTTCTCTTCAATGTGTGGACCACACACTGGTACTGATCCACAAATTACCAATCAATGACAGATTAATATAAAAATTGAGAGCAAGCCTTTGGGAATTTAAATCCAAGCATTTAATCAGGGAACGTGCTTGTTAAAAAGAGTTTGGACTAGTTTGAGTGCTGCTGAAATACTAGTCATGTGCAGTACAACTATCCTATATAATGAAAGCCTAATATGCTAAGTGTCCGGTCATCCAGTCGGCCGTTCAGTCAAAGAGTAATATGCTAATTATATGCTAAGGCCACTCAACTACTCACTATGACGTGTACTGACAACCAGGGGGCAGACAGTCAACTGGTCAACCAGTTGCTATGACGTGCACTGACCACTAGGGGGAAGATGTTCTGACTGGTAGGTGAGCTTGCTGCTGGGGTCCGGCCTATCGGGATTGAGTGAGATGGGCCAGACACGCCCTGGAGCCCTCCTGCGTCCCTCCCCGGTCCCAATTGTGCACTGGTGGGGTCCCTTGGCCTGGCCTGCGCCCTCTCGCAATCTGGGACCCCTTGGGAGATGTCAGAGAGCCGGTTTCGGCCTGATCCCACAGGCCAGGCCAAGGAACTCCACTGGTGCACGAATTTGTGAACCAGGCCTCTAGTTGGTTTATAAAGGATTAGGTACTTCAAAAGGGGTGGAACTGTCTATCTTTATTAGATAGATAGTTTAAGAAACTGTAATAGTTCTGGATGGTTTGATAGTTTTTTCCCTTTCTCTTCTATTTTTTATTTTATCACATTGAATTCAGTTGTAATTTTTTGGGTGACTCGCCTTTGATTTTTTCCAAAACATTTAGCTTAGTGTTCTTAGAAACAGTGGCTCTTTTTATTGCAGTCATATTTATTTCATTTCTGTAATCTTTAAGTAAAATATGTAATGATGGTAACAAGTACAACCGGTATAAACTGGTCTGGCAGCAAATTCAACTGACTCTTGATGACCATTCAACTCAGTTGCTGTGAGAAATGGTATGT